GTAGTAGTAGTAGTTGTTGTTGTGGGAGTAATAGTAGTAGTAGTCGCGGTGGTCGTGGTGGTAGTGGTAGTAGAAGTAGTGGGCAAAACAGAAGCAGCAGCAGTGGCAGTGGTCGTGGTAGGGATGATGGGGGTGGTGGTCGTAGCCATAATTACTAGCAGACTGTCAATCGTCCTAGCCATAGCTGCAAAACGTTTTTGCAAGAGTGCCTCCTGCGCCAGTGGCCCAACACGTGGTGAGCGAGGCTTCGTACAAATCGCGACCCACTGCTCGAAGTACGGTAGAAGTATCTCGTAGTTGAGAACGGCGGCTTCGTAAGAGGGCACACCTACAGCTTCCGGCTTCAACCAAGACAAGAGGCGGCCATCAAAGCAAAGCCGGCGACGGATGGAATCCGTCTTTTCCCACTTCTTTGCCAGCCCCGTGAAACCATCCAGCGGCATTCGCGATACCATCTTGAGTCTTAGACAGATAAGCAGATCGATGTAGATATATACAGCGAGTTTTTACATCATTGGAAGGATAACTGAGAGAACCTTGGCAGCTAGTGAAACCTCGTCACGAATGTTTGCGCTTTGGTCCCAGTGCTTAGATATACCAGCGGCACCCAACTACAAAACTGCATTTATCCTGCATGCAAAGGATCCAGGAAACAGCAGCGATGGAAAACCAGACAATCACATTTGATGAGCCCGGGGCCCCTCTGGACAGCATGCATCTGCCCCGTCTGCAAGGTGCATGCATGCGCTCTCATCGGAAAGCTGGGAACATTGCCATCGCAGCTCGGGCAGCAGCTCACAGAACCTGCGCACATCGGAAGTTATTTGGATCTGCTTTGTATAGACGGCACAGACATGCTTGCAAGTCTCAAGGCCCAGGTTGGCTCGTTTTTCCACTGGTACATGCAGCCAAGGATTGATTAGCCACCCGCGCTGGACACCTTATCATCTTCTGCAGTTTCTTTTGGCTGGCCCCGAGCCTCCTGAGATGTGCTGACACAGCACACAAAAGCCGCTACCGTGGAGCTCCTGAAGTATATCTAGCCGATCTAGCCCATGACAGCTTTTGTTGCAGGCAAGTGGCTTCCAGCATACCTAATATTTTATACACGCAGACTTTGCATGAGTACTGGCAAGTTTGCATGAAGCACGGCTTTGCGACAGTTGCAGGCATCAGTAAACATATGAATCAAGTTGCGAATGCGATACACACCTGCAAGATGGTGGGCATACCCACCGGCATGGTAGTTCGCCTTGATGACAGCAGTTGCACGCTCCTCCGTCATGCCCTGCACAAACTTTGCAACTCTTGAACACATCATCTGTAAAATGCAAACCTAGCTATCTCTTGCTCACAGATGCCTCCTTGTCGATGCCCATAGCAGCTTTAGCACGACTCCAAAACTCGTCCGGAAGATCCAGGAGTCCTATAGAAATCACCCAGACAACGAGTCAGAACGAATCACAACAAAAGATGCTGAAGCTCCTTCGTAGTCCACCGTGGGACGTACAGCCGACATCAGTTTCCCTACCTTGAGGATGTGTACATACATGTCTATACAGAGCCGGACAAAAGCGGCAAACGGCTCCGCAGTCAAATTTGCTGTTCAGAGAGAGCAGCTGCAAGCAAGGGAGCAGTGTGAGCACACCATTCAGGCAAAAATGTGCACAGCGGGGGGTGGCGGCCTGCCTCATCGCCATGAGATCACTACCAATGAGCAACTATGACTTCTAGACAGGTCACAAGATGCCATGTCCTAGGATGATCTGGAACTTCCTTACAGATGCAAAGTTCCTTACCTAGATCACTCGAATATGGATGAAAGACACTGCCTTTCACCAGAATCGGACCTTTCCTGTCGAAAGATTTGCTTTTGGACCTTTTTGTGTTGCTGTCGACATCAAGAAGGCCAGCGATGCACTTTCGGGGCTGAGGTCTGAAATTACCCAAAGGGCCAAAGAGATGTTGGCGACTAGTTACACAATAGGTCAGGTCTGAAATTTCGGGGTCACAAGAAGATCCAGGTAGGGGTTTAGGGTTTAGGGTTTAGGGTCTTAGGGTCTTAGGGTTTAGGGTTTAGGGTTTAGGGGTTTAGGGGTTAGGGTTTAGGGTTTAGGGTTTAGGGGTTCAAGGTTTCGAGTTTCGGGTTTAGGGGGGTATAGTGTGGTAAAGTAGAAGCCCAAAAGTTGGAAACCCAACAGCCTCAATCCCTAAGAGTAATGTATAGGGAATCCCAGCACTATTTGTCCTTAATCCGGCTTCCAACTTCTTGGGGCTTACTATGTGTTACTACTAGGGTTTAGGGCTTAGGGTTAAGGATTCATCATACCGAAAGCATGACATTAGTTGTTGTTCAGGCTTCTCCATGAGAGCCCTCAACCCCTTGGCCCTAAACCCACCATACCGATAGCCCAAAACCCCCGTAGAGACGAGCCCTTGAGCGTCAACCCTATCCTCAAGCACGGAGGGTTGAGGGTTTAGAACCCGAAACCCGAATCCCTAAACCCTAAACCCCCGAAACCCGAATCCCTGAACCCTAAACCCTAAAGGGTTTAGCCTAAAGCCTAAAGCCTGAAACCACAGCTGCTCCTTGGCAATCTTGGCCTTCTGCTCGTACACAGCTTTCTCTGCCTTGTGGCTGCAGGCGAGCGGTTGGGGCTTAGGGTTCAGGGTTCAGGTTGGTTGGTTGGTTTAGGTCTGATATGATGTACAATGGATACCTGCCGATCGCTGGTTGGTTTAGGGTTTAGGGTTTAGGGTTTAGGGTTTCGCGTTGCCTTGTGGCTGCCAGTGAGTTGGGGCTTCTGATTCAAGGACGATTCTTGGCTTAAGTACGGATGAATCCTAGTGGAGGCCCCATAATGAAAAGAGCCGGAGAACATCAAAAACCACAAGCCAAGAACTCTGAGACCCTTTAAATAAACACCGTTCAAAGAGCCCTACGCCCAAAGCGTCAACCCTCAACACTACTTAGAGGCCCAAGTACCCTAAATGGAACTATCTCAATTATAACTCTACTTATAACCGACTTACTAAGTCCCCTGGGCCTCTAAGTAACCTCACTAACCCCTCGACCCCAGACCCTAAACCCTAAACCCTAAACCCTAAATCCTAAGCCCAAAACCCAAAACCCTAAACCTTAAACCCCTAAACCCTTCATGAAGCCCTCAAAGCCATGGCTTGAGCCTCATCTGCCGCTTTCCAACGTTCCGGGATGGCTTTCGAGATCTCTGCAAAACTAGGCCTGGGCTTGGGTAGGGTTTACATTGGGTTTAGGGTTTAGGG